TAACAATAATAATTTTACTATTATATTTTAGGTTAGTTTCTAGTGTAGCATAGTCTTATCTACTCTCATAGGTAAAGGTGTAGTGAAGGAGAACACAGGTGAGGGCAACCGAATTGTATTTAACGAAAATTACAGAGTTACTCAGTAAAATCGGAAAACCATATCGTAAATCGTTCATTTGCAAAATATCAGTTCATCATATCGAACTGGACTGTTCCTGTTGTAAACACAACATCAATCCATTGTCACTATTCATGGGTTTCATACAAATTCCAATGTGTTTTAACTCTTCCTTTGTTGATCTTTCCCCATCTTCTGCTGCCCGACATTACGTTGACGCTCACGTCATATACTACTTATAAATAGCTCACACCACAAAGGTACTAAGCAGGAGAAAGAAACTAATTGATAAAATTGTGACGCTTTATCAGTTGATATGATTGGAATGTGTATTACGATTGGCTGACCTCACTACCGACCTCGACAGACGATGTTTAGCGGCTCACTAATAGACTTCAATGTAGACGAATGATCAACGGTGTAATGAAATAATTTCTTCCTTTCCACTTCTGTATATTAATACTTAGGTTAACCCCGTGTTGTGCGACGGCGGTAGTAAGAAGTCAAATGCGGTGTGTGGTGCGCGCTACTTATAAGTAGTATATGACGCGAGTGTAAACGTAATGTCTGGCAGCAGGATATGGGGGAAGATCAAGAAAGGAAGAGCGGGAACACAATGGAATATCAGACAATGGATTGATGATGGATTGAAGATTTGCAAATTAACCGTTTACGATATGGTTTTCCTATTTTACTGAGTAACTCTATAATTTTGCTTAAATACAATTCGGTTGCCCTCACCTGTGTTCTCCTTCAATACAGTTGTTGCGGACGACTTTATTTTGTGTGCTTTCATTTATGTAGACAAACATGAGAATGGAAGCGTACAAGCAAAACAAAGCGAATTGGAGAAGGAGAGTTTTTTTTAAATATTCCCATTGTGAAAATTAGAACAACACATATAAGCTTATATGTGTTGTCCTTGAGTTGAAGAATTACTAAGTATTTATAGTCAAGCAATGATAGGCTAGACATGTGATAAGTGATAAAGTATCCACACACAACCAAATACACAAATACAAACTTATGGTCGATACAATTATCGAATAATTCAAACGAAAGTACAATGAATGAATGATGAGATGCTAAAGATGTTTAATTGTGTAAGAGTAAAAACGTTAGATACAGACAAATGAAAATGTGTTACTGTAACGGAGTCAAAATCACCATGTATATGATGTTGTTAACCCGTTCTGTTTTCTTTCTATTTCAGGGAGATCAAGCATAAACGCTTTGGAAGCTGAAGAACAAGCCCTGAATGTTCTGAACTTACAGGATGACTCATAAGACTTTGGTAAATTAGCCACCCTTTTTCTGTACAAACTCAGCGTATTTTAATTTTCAAATAAAAGTGTATCGTGGCTACCATTTCGTGTCCTCTATTGGTGTGAGGTGTTAAACTAACCTTGTGTGTTGTAATTTTAGATCATATCCTCCCTTCAGCGACTGCTGGTTACACGTGTTACAGTACCAATTGGTTAAGTCATTAACTGTTAGTTTGACTAGTATTTATAAATGAACTCTAACCGATTACCTGCTAAAGAATAATCGCACACAATGGTACCAATACCTTTGCTCTCTTCTCTATCTTACTTTGGATCCTAAGTCTCAGTAACAATCCACACATATATTTCCATTCTATCTTTGCGACGTATCCTCACTGATAAAACTTCTCAATTATCTTTGTTACTGGAACTATTTTGATTCGTTTTCTATTCATCTCGTTATTCAAATGAGGTGTAGGTCCGCAGTAACTGCGGTTAACTGACTGCTTCATAAATGAGTAATTTTTATACTTAGAAGATTTCTAAGTGATTTGATGCGATTTTCAATGTTATGAATTTACAGCTAAAAAATTTTTTTTCAAATGAGCAATACAATACATTCTTTTTTTAATTAGTGACTATTAAACAATCGATCCTTTAAACAGAAAATCAAACTATGGAAATTTTGTCAAGATTTATTTTATTACAAATGTAATGCATATAACTAGATTCAGTTTCTATGTCGACCAAATAAATTATTTGCACAGCTGTACAATTTCAGCAATCCATGAAGTCTATGACAAGTGGACTTAGCCATGTCGGTGATTGTCGACTACCTGGTTGGGGTCCGCGAGATGATAATAATCGATTGTTAGAGACCTTGAATGACATGGTTCAAAATCGTTCGCAATGGCGCCGGTGCATTTATTCTTTGTGTTCTCACTGAATCATGCTTCTTGAATAATGTCTTCTAATCCTTACCTCTTTGATTACTTCTGATACCTTTACTACCTCTTCTACTATTGGATTGGTATTGACTTTTACATCTCTGTGCTGATGTGGTATGGCAACATGAACTAATGTACTTACGTACGAAGTTCTCCGTTGCATCTGACTGACTGACTGACAATTTCAGCACAGTTAAATGTAAAAAACAGTAAGTTGGTTGCGGTAAGACAATAATTTATAAACTACCTTTGAGAGTCACTAAAGTTATCTTGGGAAGATTGGTCAACTTACTATAATCTGAAGATGGTTTTTATTTAGAGTTAGAAGTTAGAGTATTGGATCAGAGTTGGGGAACTCAGCTGATAAGTATCTTTATTTTGGATTTCTTTCATGGATTGATCAGTTAACCTTGAAATGACATTTCCCACCAGAAAAATCCTTGGCTGTGATTAGTTACTGTGCCATTTTAGTTTGCTATTTTTGTGACTGTCTCAAAGACGTCTCTATGGAGTATATATAAACGCAATTTGAGTGCTTGGATTTATTGTGTGCTTGCTTGATGTTTGTAGAACACACTTTCTACACTATATCAAGACTTCTTGCTGGTACAATTGAGTCAAGGGATCACAGTAGCCTACCTGGACGCTGATTCATTGTTTTGTTCTCATTTATCGACTAAGGTGAACCCGTAATAGTTTAATATATCCAGTATATATGCGCATACCTAGAGACGAGCATAACACTTTCGTCACTAACTGGCATTAACTCAAATGCTAAAATGATGTTCAGTCATACGTAAAAAATGAATTCCGCGCTAAAATCCAAAATTCGTCAACTCACATCTGATTGGTTTATTCGTAAGTTATAGTCTTGAATTTTGTGTAATGCTGAAAAATGACATTGATTACTGTCTGTAAAAACAGTAACCATATGAGTGTGTGTGAATACTATATCTACATCTGGAGTGAAGCACAGTATCAACTGGACAGTTAGGACGCAGCCGGATGATCTGGACTTCGCAGATGACCTGGCTCTTCTATCTCACACGCAACAACAAATGCAAGAGAGGACGACCAGTGTAGCAGCAGCCTCTGCAGCAGTAGGTCTCAACATACATAAAGGAAAAAGCAAAATTTTCCGATGCAACACAACATGCACCAACCAAATCACTCTTGATGGAGATGCCTTGGAAGACGTTAACATCTGTACATATCTGGGCAGCATCATCGACAACCAAGGTGGATCCGATGCAGATGTGAGGGCGCGGATCGGCAAAGCAAGGGCTGCATTTCTACAATTGAAAAATATCTGGAACTCCAAACAACTTTCAATCAAAACCAAAATCAGGATTTTCAATGCAAATGTCAAGACAGTTCTACTGTATGGAGCGGAAACTTGGAGAACTACCAAAAATATCATCCAGAAGATACAAGTGTTTATTAACAGCAGTCTACACAAAATACTTCGTATTTGTTGGCCAGATACCATCAGCAACAACGAACTGTGGGAAAGAACAAACCAGATTCCAGTGAAGGAGGAAGTCAGGAAGAAGCGGTGGAAGTGGATAGGACACACACTACCAAAAGCACCTAACTGCGTCACGAGACAAGCCCTCACATGGAACCCTCAAGGCAAAAGGAAAAGAGGAAGGCTGAAGAACACATCACGCCGAGAAATAGAGAAAGATATGAGAGGAATGAACAAACATTGTACAGAACTGGAGAGGGAATCCCAGGATAGAGTTTGTTGGAGAAAACTGGTTGGCGGCCTATGCTCGATTGGGGGTAACAGGCGTAAGTAAGTAAGTAACAATACTATATCTCGAATGAGATATCTACTGAAATCAAGTAAAGTTGAATGATTTTAAATCCAAGAAATATTCAATAATCAATTGTTGAGTAATAAAAATCAATGTCATTATACTTCTTGAACGCTACTCATCAAATACCGTTATATTACTTATAGCCTAAGTCATTTCACGTCATACTCACCATGTTTTAAGTGCTTATGGTGAGGAAGTAACTAAGTACTTATTACAGTTTATCAGTAAAGGAGGGCAACCTATAGTCTTGAAATAGATCTAAATTAAAACTTCATAAAGATTATATTCATTTCCTTACAGTTTTAAAAGTTTTGATCAAACACTTCTCTCTATTGATTTCATATCTATTTTTAAGACTAACTGATCAGTTCATACATAGTTCATTCTATTTTATTCAAATTTCAATGAATATATTATTAGGTTTTGTTTTAATTTGAGTCATCCTTTTTAAACTAATCCGTAACATATTAAATTAATCAGTAGAATAATTATCAATATTACCGCCATATTGAGAAAATTTTTTATAATGAACACATATCAATACAAATAACGACTCATTGAATTATTATTTTACAAACATGATAATAATCACAAGGACAAATACTACTTATAAGTAGTTGAATATATGATACTTCATCAACAAAAAAAACTAGATATAAATTAAAATACTCTAATATTCATGAATCAAAAAAATAAAAAGTATGAATTACATAACATACATGTAAATATTTATATGTATAGATGTAGTTGAATTATTTATTGTAAGAAACTGTACATTTTGTCTCTTTTTGTCACAGTAAAATGTCAATAGAAGAAAAAGCCCGAATCAAACCACCGAAACCAAATCATCTTATTTTATTTTCACGTTGTAACAATAAATGTTGTCTTATAAAGTATATAAGTAGTATTGTGACACCGAATAAAATAATTGTCATTAATAATAAAATTCCAAGTAATATTGTTATTAAATTTTGTAACCAGATTATTTTCTGTTCATTATGCTTATTATTATTACTATTATTATTAATATGATTTGTTTGTTGTTTTAAATAATCGTTTAATTCATTGATCAATGTGCTGTTAATTGATGTGCAAGTTTCATTTGTCAATAATGATAATGACTGATTAGTAGGATAATTCTCAATATTGGTTTGGAATAATGTTGTAGATTGTGCATTGGTAGTTTCTGTAGGTAATGAGATTAATGAAGATTTTATTACTATGGTTGGTGTTGATGTTGTAGGTAAATTAGAAGAGGCTGGTAATTTTGATTTATAACGTTTTGGTGATCGTTTTGCACGTAATTTATTAATCAATGATTGTGTAGTACTAGTACTACTGCTACTACTACTACTACTACTACTACTACTAGTACTACTAGTAGTACCAGTAGTAGTCATATCATGTGTTGTCAATGTTTCAATCAAATTCATTCTAGACAATCTATTCATACGTGTTTGTTGATTATTATTATTATTATGATTATTCACTATTGAACAATATCGTTCATGTGTTTTTAAATCTGCTACTAATATAAATTCAGGATAATTTGGACATGAATATTTCCAATAAATTAAACATTCTGTATAATTATTCAATAATTCAATACGTGAATCTGGTAATGATGCTGATTGTGGATTAATTTTTATTTCATCATTTCTAATACAATCTTGTAAAATAAAATAATCTAAAGATAAATTTGCTATTAACATAACATCTGCATAACGTAACATTTTACCATCAATAGAAATATATCTTAACCATGTGGACAGTTGATTGAAATCATTACGATCTAAACGAAATAATGGTATAGTTATTGTAATATATAAATCAGTAATTGGTTTAATATAATTTTGAATATAATATGAAATACTAGTACTTATACGATTTGAAGTAAATACAAACCATTCATTACTCCATGATGGTTGATTTGATAATGACGGCATACCAATGATAATATGTAATAAACGTGATGTAAAATGTGTAACACACTGACTAGTTACAGATATATTCCATTCAATATTCAATAAATTTGATGTACTACTAGTACTACTACTATTATTTAAACAATCTAATATAGCTATTTTTTTATTTGGTAAATGTAATGCTGTTTCAGATATTTTTCTTATTTCTCGTCTATTTATTTTAGGTCTAAGTAAACATTGAAAATTACATGGTATATATTTATATTCTGTATTAAATTCTGATGAACTGATTGTTTTAATTGAACGTGGATATCGTATAATTTCCGCATTGTCGTCATCTTCATCAGTAACAACGAAAGATTTATATTTCTTGATTGAAAGACGATTCAGTGTTTCTAACACTTTCATTATATCATCTATACCATTATTCATAGAATCATGACCATTATTTAATAATTCATTTTCGTCAATATTTAAATCATTCATTTGCATTTCTTCCATACTATTTGTTATTAAACATAATAACATTATTACTAATTGAATAAAAAGGATCAATTGAAAATTCATGAAATTCATGTGTTATGATGCATTTTGTTGTGGTGAAAAAATTTATTTCCTGTACTAATTTTTAAAATAGCGCTTTATACATCTTTTGATTTCATTGATATTCGTCAATAAATGAATGATTTTATTCGATGTGACTCAGTGGAAAAAAATACATCGAATGACCTTGACAGAAGATCAACTTCTGATTGGATAATATGTTATCAACCAATAGATTATTATTATTTTGATGATTCGGAGAGATAATGATTACAAGAAAGCCTAGACATAAGATAATTGTTAGTATATGTGTGCATATATATATATCATGTCGGACTGTTCATGTAGAAATGTGCTACTTAGTACACTCACTACAAGCAATAAAATGTTGATCGAATATGAAATACGCATGCATAAATATTTCCTAATACTATTTTATGTACCTATTTAAATTCGATTATATTTATTTCATGGTGTATTTGGTTTGTTTGCTTCTCTCAGACAAAAAAAAGGGAAATTCCAGGCAAAGCAAATATCATTTCACCTAATTTATATATTATCTAACTCCGACATTCAGTGTAATTATCGAGAGAGAAGGGTGTAAAAGAAAATTGGGAACTGATTTTTACAATTAACATAATTATAGTTATAAATAATATACTATAAAAATAATTGGAATAAGAAATTAACCATAGAATGAGAGAGAGAGAGAGTGATAGTGTAGACGCCTATTTGTATATGTAAGAAAACATTTTCTTATATAATACTATGAGATATTAACATAAACTAGTCGGTTATCACAGAAAATCTGTATGTGTTGATGATAATAATAATTGATTCTGAGTGAAATTATGAAGATATAATTCGAAAAACAATGAAGAATAATCCATTAACTTGGCAAAACAAAGATAACTGCTTGATATTATGCTTGACAGAACGGATTATTCATACCTTTTAATTGGTTTTTAACTAACTTGTATTGCTGGAATCTTTCTAATGGCTAGAGTTATTCTAGGAAGAGTGAACTTGAAGTCAGGAATCAAACATGTATCATGATGGTTGTTTGACTTGGTGAACTGATTAAAGTTAGAAATACTGATCCTTGTGGATTTCAATTCAGCAGAATAAATAGTATCATATTCATTAAAACATTTGAAGGTCAGAGATTCGGCTCGAAATGAGATCATTGACAAATCATCTGTCTAGTGCTTCTTACATTTCACTGATTACAAGACTCATATTATCTTAAGATAATTAAAAAAATGATTTGAAATTCATTTACTCAGTTTCGCTTAAAACCAGAACACATGTTTGAATGTGTAGAAAATTTGTGTATCTATCCGTCAGAAAGCTAAAATGTTAGGTTAGACAGGTGAGGAAATCAGTTTTTAACTTATTGAAACCCTGCTACAGTCTTGATTTTTCTCATATAACTCTGAATACCACCTCTATTTTGTACTGGTTCTGATATGAATTGTCTTGACTTTTTACTCAGTAAACAAATGAGTTACTAATTATAATCGACCATATTATCTATACAAATTGTCAACTATCATATTTCATACTTATAGATAACGAAAAAAATATTAGAAGTTAAATTGATATTAACTTTCAAGTCAAATTCAGTAGGTAACTGACCAACCTCCATAACTCCACGATGCAAACTACCTGGCTCACTAGTGAGGGGCTCCGTGAGGAGTCTTCTCTAAGTTCTAGTAAGAAGTCGTAATCAGTGGAGTTCAACCCTGTTTGGGTGTGAAGCAGTGCTCACCGAAGACAGTGTATGAGGTTGCGCAAGACCGAAAGTCCTGAGTTCCAATCCTGCGAGGTTCAGGAGTCGTGGATGTGCACTACCGCTGAGGAGTCCCATACCAGGATGAAACGGTCGTCTTGCAGTGCTTCGAGGTTTCTAATGGTGGTCTAACATTGATCGATTCATGATTTCAATAATTGGATATGACAAATTCATTCTTCTAGATAGATCGAGAGAGCACTGATATTTTTAAAACTGTGCAACAAGATTAATATTTGTTAGATGAAGTCATAAACAGTTATATGTGCCAATGACAACTTGTGAAAGAAACATGAGAATGATTTGTAAACATCATTATCAAGACATGGATAATAAATTAGTCCTATCTTCGAGACCTAATTTTGCTGTGCACAAAGAATATAAAATTCTATTCTCAAGGTAAAGCATATACGCAAATCGATGGAGTGGCTATGGGAAGCCCTCTCGGACCTGTTTTAGCAAACATATTCATGGGAATGATAGAAAGGCTAGTGAGTCACTTCATCGATGGTATTACACTTTACAAACGATATGTCGACGATATTCTTGTCATATTACCACATTCTGCAGATATTAATGAAGTTAAGGATTTATTCAATGCGATTCACCCGAATCTGAAAGTCACTTATGAGGAAGAAAAGAATAATGAACTAGCTTTCTTCGATATCCTGCTCCATCGCCATCCAGACGGATCAATCAGACGAAAAGTACACCGCAAACCCACCTGGTCGAGACAGTACCTCCACTTCACTAGTTTTTGCCCTATACAATATAAACGTTCTGTTGTCAAAACTTTATTCGCTCGAGTAAGTAGAATCTGCACTGCTGATACATTGAATGACGAATTCAAGCTTATTATTGACACACTTAAATCAAACGGATATCTCGAAACGTTTATTGATCATCCGAACACAACTACGACGAAGCTGATAGCAGCTGATGTGCCCAAGAAACCAGTGTACTTACAGTTACCTTTCAAGGGTGATCGTTGCATGAAAATTACAACCAAACAGACTACAGCTGCAATAAAAAAGACTTTCAGTGCAGCTAATCTGAGGCTTATCACAACAACTCAATCGATCTTAGTTACCCCAATCAGGTCTCCAAGACCGATTCAGTCCAAATCCCACTGTATTTACCAATTCACATGTAACTGCGGAGAAAGTTACTTAGGGAGGACAGATGGCCGATTGGAAGACAGGATAGGGGAACATATTCCAAAATGGTTAATCAAATCCATGATTCATCAACCTACCCCGTCATCTCAAAATCGATCAAGAAACCCAGCCTCGTTCATTGCAAAACATCTAATGATGAGTGGTCATCAAATTGACCCAAAATCAGCCTTTAGAGTTGTGACATGTCATCAAAACCCACACGCACACACACACTGAAACTACTCGAAGCTATCTTGATTGGTGGGAAAAGTCCAACTTTATGTGTTCAAAAACAACTGTATGTTGACCTTTGTTTACTTACCATGGTTCTAGTGAGTGAATGTCATGCTAAATAAGAAATTTTGACCTTATCTTGAAAACTGTCTTTACACATATAACATGTTGCTTGTATGTGACTGACGAGAAAGCACGAAATGGTAGTATCTCACAAAATATGTCTTCTCATTTCTCTGTTCAAATAAATTAGTCAACGTTTGGAGCATACTACTATTACTTCTACTTGAATGGACCAAGTAATGAAGATAATACAGTTTGTTAGTGAAATGTGTCATATACCTTATCTTTAGGCTTGATTTCTAAAACAAGTACATTCTTAGCTAATTTCTGACCAGTTGTCTTCGTGTCTTCAGAACACTTTAATCGCTCTATACGTCTTGATTCAACACATATTTTCAACAGTAACTTCTGGGTGAAACTTAGAGTAGAGAGTAGAATACACCGCAGAGCTATTCCTGCTACTATTACTATTACTTAGTCGTAAAAAAATCCTAACGTTGTTGTTTAAAACAACATATACATTTTTACAATCGATACATTTAGCGATAGAATCTTATGAGCCAACAATGAACATGAGGTTTCTAATCTACGGTTTCATAAGTTTGTTTAACTGTGATACATTTTTAATCAAAGCTCATTCAATAATGTGACTGATTTATTGTACCACTTTCAATATGATGCGCTACATAGATAACGGTCTGTAAGTCAACAAACATTTATCTCGAATTAAATCGTAAGCGAAAATATATTGTTTACATGGTATCTACAGCCACTTGTCTTTAATTCATTTTGATACAGTTAACCTACTCAAGACTCTGAATTATCCCTTTGTTTCCAAACATCAATACGCTTGTTATCATAAGTTTTATTGTTTTAAATTTGAGTTATTTGAGAAATTACGTACTTACATAAAATTTTGTACAAGATAACACAAAGTGATTTACAAGAATTTCAAGAGTAGATATTTCCTTCTCCTCTATCCCAGAGCATTACATTTAAAGCAATGGGTTAAGATCCAACATTCTACATGTATCCTTTCAATAAGTCTGTTATAATGACCAGCTATCATCTTACCCAATCTATGGTGGTTACTTTCCTTCGTATCAATACGTTTGAACTCCATTGGTCATAGTTTCTTACTAGAAATCCATAAATTTCCTTTCGAAGCTAATCACCATTAAGTAAATGAAGATTCCAAAGCCTTTTATTATGTCAGGGAATAACCATGACCAGAGAAATTCATCGTATTGTATATGAAACAGCTACTTAGGGCAGAAAATAGTTGAAGATTACTCAATGTCATTAACTAACTGAGGCTAGATGTGTACGACGTTGCGTACTGGTTCAGCAGATCGAAATCTATGCGTTAATGCACGAGTAATAATCTCCTCAGTTCAATTCCCAGACACAAATTTCTAGGCACGCATTGCTAAAGAGTCCCATACTAAAGCAAAAAGCTTATCAGTTGCTTCCATATTTTCAGCAGCGGTTTAACCAAAATCAATTCATGATTCAATCTATTTAAAAATTTCCATAGTCTCTAGAATTATCCCTGTCCTAATAATTATTTACGAAATAGAAAAAGTGTATATATATATATATATATATATATATATATATATATATATATATAAATTAATTTGTTGACATAAATCATATATATCAATGCTAATGATGGTCAATTTCAGGAATATTTTCATATTTTCATATAAATTATCACAACATTGTAGGAGGTTAATAGGTTAGA